CCGGAGCCGGCGGGATCCTGCAACGCGGTCGCAGCAGTAACGATAGTGCCGGCGGGCTTGGGCGGCGGCGGAGGCGCGCGCTCCCCCAGGCGGACCGTACCACCCCCGCCAACACGCGGGGGGAGCCTCCCGCCCCGCCGCACACGCCTCGGCGACCCCGCGGAGCTGAGGCTAAGCCGCGCCCGGGATCGTGAGCGAGTAGCCGGCCTCGACCCCGAGCTCTGAGCGCCGCTGGCAGCGTCCGCCGCCGGCCCCACCCATCCGGACCGCGGAGGCCGCGACCATGGCCGAGACGGAAGAGCGGAGCCTGGACAACTTCTTCGCCAAGAGAGACAAGAAGAAGAAGAAGGAGCGGAGCAGCCGGGCGGCGAGCGCCGCGAGCGCCACGGGCGCGGCGGGCGGCGCCGGCGGGTGCAGCGGAGCCGCGGGCGCGGCGGGCGGCGGGGCGGGCACGGGGACACGGCCGGGCGACGGCGGAACCTCCGGCGCGGCCACGGGCCCCGGGGCCGCCACCAAGGCCGTGACTAAGGTGAGGGGCCGGGAGGGCCGGGACGCGGGCCCTGGGCGGCGCGCTGGCGCCCGTGTGCCCGCCCCCGCCTGCCTTCCTAAGGAAGCGCCCTGGAGGGGGTCGGCCAGTGGGCCGCGGGGCGCGGAGGCCGGCCACGTGACGTGGGCTGCCCACGTTGGGCGCTCCCTTGCGGGACCCGTTGCAGCCCGCGTGGCTGGGCTGGAACCGCGCCTCAGGCTACGGCACGCCTAGGGGGAAGTTGGTCGGGGTCCGAAGTGTCCGGCCCAGCGCCGCATTTATGGAGTGACGTCTACCCCGAGTAATTCAGTGTTGTGACTTCAGCCCAGTAGTCTGAGCTGATCGCATTCGTAGTAGCTCTAATGGGCATGCCTTGACCTCTAAGCTCAATTAAACAAAAAAGTCTCATGGCTGCATTGAGGTAGACTTGTCAGTTGTGGGGAAACTTGGACTTCTTCATTCTGCTTTTCGGTTGCTTTTAAAATACCTCTCGTGAAGGAACCCCCTAGAAGTAAGTCTTTGCTGGGCATGTTTGCCCTCAAGCCTAGGCGGCCTTGCGATCAAGCAAGGGCCTTGGTCAGAACACGAGTCCATGCTTTAGGTTCCAGCCACTTGATAGCCTTTTCAGAGTCTGATATTTGCCCTAGTTAGGTTTTAACAGATAGCTTTAATTGATCAAATGGTACGTGTTTTGCAGGATGAAGATGAGTGGAAAGAATTTGAGCAAAAAGAGGTTGATTACAGCGGCCTCAGAGTTCAGGCAATGCAAATAAGGTATGGTCTGGTTACAGACTTGTTCAGTTAATCCTAGGACAGATATTGTATGTTGGGTTTTTCTTTAGCCCCAGAACGACATCATAGTAGCCTTGTGCCTTAGATATGCTTGTTAGGGCTCCAATTTCTCTTTTTGATGGCAGTCCTATATGCTCATCAAATTAGCTGCCAGCCTCAAAATCCTGTGAGAGGTTGCCTACTTCCAGGCCCCCTTAGGCCTTTTTTTTTTGAGACAACTAAAATGGATTTTGTGGTTTCATAATTTTTACTAATAATTTTGCTGGGTTGAATTTAGTTTTTCTGTTTCATAAATTTGTCGATGGTCTTCAGATCCTCTCTAATAAGCAAGTTAATATATTTTTGTAATTGAAGTAATTACACAGGGGTACAGACATGTATTCACACAATGAAACCAACCTGTTTAATCAGCACCAAGGTCTAGAAACTGAACATTACTAGTAGAGAAGTTCCTCTCTTTGCCCTTTGAAATCACTGTCTTCCCCCCCAAGGATAGCCACTCTCCTAACACTATAAATTGAACTTTCCTTCTAGTTTCGTTTGAATACGATCATATAGTGTAAGCATGTTGTTTTTAAAATTCAAGGAAAGTAATTTTTTTAAATTGGATTGGTTGGTTCAGAGGACTTGAAATTAATATTTTATCAAGTCCAATATGTAGTAGCAGTTTTAGATTCATGGAAATAAATGTATTTTGAGGGGCTCACAAAATAGAAGAAAACAGGTGAGTTTGTGGTTCTACTAGTTTCAGATTAAAAACCCTTTATTCTCAAAGAAATAAATGATTCCAGTGAACTGCCTCCAGTTGAAATTTAGTTTGCATATGTCAGTGACCACGTAGAACAAGGGAGAAAATATTTTCCTTAACAGAACACACCGTCTTTTTGATCTCTAGATGGTAATATTTATGGCATTAAATAACCTACTCACAAAACAGGCCTCATATTTTTGACATTTGTTAAATACTTATCACAAGTAGGTGTTAATGTCCTAGGTTCTTTCACAGAATTTCTTATGAAAAGAATTTACCAGCTTAACCAAAGTGGAACTTGATTGATAGGAAACTTTAGAAAATGCAGTTCTTCACTCTAGAGATTGCTTTGTAGTAGTGTTACGAAGTGGTCAGACTAGCAGTTTTATTCCCCTCCACCTCTTGGCTTTTTTGTATTATATGCTTTTGAAGAGATAATTTAGAAAATTCTGTTTTCTTTCTCCTGGGGCTTGACCTGTAAACATAGGGCGGAGTGGGTGCAAAGTTCTTAATCATTTGGGGTTGGGGAACTGCCTGTGTGTGGTTCCTCTCTTGCAGAATAAGGCTCTTGCTCTGGCTTTCCTAACTGCAAGCCCCAGACTTCACATTCGTGAAGATGAATGACAGGAAGGGCATTTGGTCACGTTGAACTTCCTGACCGAGCAGGAGTAGCATTTGCCTAGGAAAAAGGTTTCACGTTCACTGAATGCTAGAAATTGATTTTGTTATATTATGGAGGATATTTAAACTGAACCTATGTTTTATTGATTATATATCCCGTATCCATATTCAGAGTTATTTTAGTCTTCCTTTTGGCTACTCCTGACACAGTGAAACATTTCTTTTATCACTTATATTTTTCATCTTCGCCAGGAGCATAGGTACATCTCAGCTAATAAGAGCATCTAAGTTCTGCTTAACCTGAAGTAGACCAGCTTTTGTATTATTTTTTCATTGTTAGCATCTAGTCATTGCCCCTAAGTAGCCTTCTAGAGGTCTTTCTCTAACCACTAACATTGAAAAACGCACCTTCAGAAAGCTGCTTTTGTGGATCCCCAGTCAACTAGAGTCTGGGTGTGTGTTGCCATTGCCTTCATAAATCATTCAGTAAAGGGGGATCTTATAGCTTCCAGGAAAGGCTTGAGAGTGAGAAACCGTAATGACTAAAATTTCCTCTTTATAAACTGAATATCCTTGTGTTAAGTGATACTAATCCTTTTACTAATTAAGCGTATTAATGCTTGACAGTGAAACACAATAGGGTGGGGAGCACCAAAGGAAAGACAGTTCATAGGAGTGGGAAGTAGATTACTCACATAAATGGGACGGACTTGATCATGTGGCAAAAACATGGCCTTTAGAGAAAGACAAACCCAGGTTTGCATTTTAGCCCTGCTGCTTATGTGTGACGTTTGGCAAGTTGTTTTACTTTTCACTGTTGGTTCTTAATCTGCAAAGTTGAGATGACTACTAAGGGCTGTTGTGAGGATTTTTAACAGGATGTTGTAAAATACCCACTTGGTTAATATTAATCATTTCTATTCAGTGGGTCAGTTAGAATGATCAGAAGACTTCTGGGAATTTCTCTGCTGTTTAATCATGAGGCACCTGACTTAAAATAACCAGGAGTTGAGAAGGCATAGTGAAGGCACCTCAGTTATGACTAAAGTCAGACACTGGTGAGTCCATTCTTTATGGACGTAGTAGGAGAAAATGATATGTACAGGTTTCCATTAGTATAACCATATAAACAAAAATCCCTCTCTTAGAGTGTTAAGGGTTGCTAGAGATCCTCTCTGTCTTCTGTGTGTTGGTCTTACCTTTTGGGCAGAAGCCCTTAGAAAGTAATAAATGAGATTTGTGGGGGGGCGTTGTCAGGGGAGGTTCTTTATGTCTTTAATCTTTTCTATCCGTGAGAGAGGCAGTCCCACTATCTCAATATAGGACAATGGAAAATGAAACTCCAGAAGTTATTTAAAATACTGTGAAATTATCAGCCTACAATCTTAAGTTTTTTTCTCCCAACGTTTTGCTTTGAAAACTACAAACCTCAGAAGAGTTACAAGAGTAGTAAAATAAGTGCCCATATACTCTTCGCTTGGATGTACCAATCATTTTTGCCACATTTGTGTATCTTTAATTAGCTGCAGATGCTGCATGTAGTCTTAAAGTTCTTGACACTAGTCCTCACAGTTGGTTAGCATGCTGGACTTTAATCAAAGATAATGTGCACATTTGAAAGGCATGAAATTTTCCGTAGCAGCAAACTTAACGATATCAATGTCCTATCTCAGATTTACCAACTGAAGATTTAAGTACCAAGAGTATTATAAAGACATGTCAAATAATGTGTCTAAGACATCTCATTCAAGGTCATGTTATTTTGAGAAAAGTTATAGAGAGGGAAGCTGTTAAGATGGTGATTAAAGAAGGGCCCTAGGGTTATTGGTTGATAGTGGGACCTGTAGGCCTCTTCCATCTTTAAAGTGGATTTTTGGGAGAAAGAAAGATTTCATTTAATATTTGTGGTTATTAAACATTGAGCATTTGTTATGTTTCCATAAAGAATTGAGCTCTTGGAGCCTAGTGGCTTTCTAGGATTTTTCTTAAGAAACCTAGGCCTCTAAACCCATCAGGTAGAGCTGGTTAAGTTGTCCTTTGAAGAGAAGAAATTACTCCTGCATCAAGCTGGATTTATTATACAGACATTTGTATGACTGCTGTGTGCCAGCCATTGTGCTGGGTATTAGGGTTATAAAAATAACTCAGTGTTCTACTGAACACCAGTAGGTCATTTCAGTGATGCGCAAGGTGCTGTGGGGCACAGGAGAGACACTTAGTCTACCATGAGTGAGTCCTTGGATATGAGGTGTGATACTTTAGGCTGCTAAGTAGAGCTCATCAGGCCGTTTCTATCATTTTACTGTTGTAACAGTGATTGAATAATCGGGTCAAACCAGTGAAGATGCCCAGCATTCCAGCAGAACCACAGTCAAGTCTGGATTTTGTTTTATGTTTCATTCCTGGTGTTGGGAAAGGTGGAGATTAGGATGTATAAATTCTCATGTAATGTCCCTTGAGATGAGGTAAGAATGTTCTGTTCTTTATAAATACACTGCTGCAGGATGTGTAATCCTGATCAGCCTTACTAAAGAAAGTGAATTTCTCAAATCTCAAAATAGAAAATTTGTGTTACATCTTAGAACTATAAAGAGGGTGAAATGAAATCCCAGCAACCTGAAAGAATGTGCGCTCTGAAGTCCCACTCACTAGGCTCTGCTACTTTGTAGTACCCTGGGAAGGTACTTAAATTAGTATCAGTTACCTCCCAGGTGCTATGGGTCTTCTCCCTGCCTTGGTGTTAGAGCAAGGTTTAACTTAGAAAAGGGGATGGATCGCTGCCTGGTATAGTAGACACTCAATAAATTCCTTTCTAGCATCAACATTCCCCCTGCACCATTAATGTAGCCTTACAGACATAGGCATATTTAAGACAGTACACTTTCTTTGAATTGTGATAATGAGTTTATAGTAGCTTTGTAGTGCTTAAAAACATCAATTTTAGCTGATGCAAGCTATGTATTAAATATGGGTCAAACACCAAATTTTAGCCTAGTTATCTTCTGTGGAAATAATTAACATGTTTCTTGTTCTGGCTTTGGCATTTGGAGATTTGACATTTCTGGTGTATGTAACTAGTAAAAAGTAATAGGATATTTCAGTTATTTCCACCATTAGTCCTGTGGCATTTTGGCAGGACTTAGCATCTCTGGGCCTTAGTTCCCTCTGTTAGGTGAAGACTCTTGACTAGACAATTTCTGGTGTTTAGGTTAGCTTATAGTACAGAATCTTAAGCCAGAATACTAAGTTGCCTTCTTGTGCCTATAATTATAGAGGTATAAATCCCTCTAATTTAACAGAACACTCTTTATTTTTTGTAGTAGCTTATAATCTGGAGGTATTTTTAGATATGGATTACTGTACTCGTTGTGCTTGACTCTGAGGGTGAAGAGGTGTTAGACCCTAGACAGTCAAGAAATGTGCTTTTTTTGGGGACTCTCAGTATTGTATCTGACCAAATTGGAGTTTTTTTTTTTTAGATTTTTTTGTGTATTCAAAAAACAGTATGCCTTTTTATTTTTTACATATTTGAAAAGTATAACAGCATAAAGACATAAACAAGAATTACCCATAATTCCCCACATAGGGATAATCAGTGTTAAAATTTTTTGGTCTTCAGTTGCTTGTTTATTGCAAACTGATAGTTCTGGAGTTTAGTTATATTAATCATCAAATATTAAAGTAATTTGAGGGAAAGCTCTTTTAGAGTCTAATATATTTGAACAGTTGTGATTCAACACATTGAGTTAATTGTGTGAAAATGTAAATGACCAACTGAAAGCTATCACATCTTGGGTATAGAATAGAACAGAAGTGCCACGAAGGCACTTAAATCTTTCTGGGGAGCTTATCTCCCTGTCTGGTATGGATTGGGTTGCTGGGACATGACTGACTAGTTGTTTGTAGCTGGGTAACACCCATACTTCTACTTGTGAATTGAGCAAATCACATATAGTATGATTACACTGGCATGGCTTCAGAAGTGGTTAACTTTAAAAAAATACTTCAGGGATAATTCTGATATTTGGATACCACTATTAGACTCTTGGATAAATTATGACCTCCATACCATTACCTGGTCATGCATTCCACTTATATAAGCTTTAGAGAACAGGGTCAATACTGTATGGTATCCATTTTAAAAAAACATGTTTTCATGGGGGTTTTGTTGTCACAAGAAAACTACTTTTTTTCCTGTTATGAGGGTGATAATATGTGCTGCTGATACAAAAACTCAAATATTAAAAAGTATATGGTAGTGAACACTTAGAGCACTTGCTATGTGCCAGGCACTGTTCTCAGTGCTTTTTGTTTATTAATTCACTTTATCTTCATAATGAGGTTATTATCCCTATTTTATAGGTGAGGAAACTCAGGTGTACAGAAGTTCCATCCCAAAGTCTCCTGGCTAATAAATAGCAGAGCCTAGATGATTTGAACCAGGCAGTCTAGCTATAGAATCTGCTCATAACTGCTTGCTGCATGAAGAAAATAAAGTCTCGCATTCTAGCACCCAGCTACTACTTTTAACACTTAAAAAAATCATTCTAGAAGTCTTTATATTTATATTAGGTATATAGATTTTGTTTTAGTAAGTTGGTGATTTACAGGACATGAGTATTCTTTCATTTTAGTGTAGGCCTGACCATTTCTGGTGGCTGCATAGGATTCTATTATGTGTTAACAAAAAGGAAAGCTACAGGGTGGCTTGGCCATATTCTTCATCCTGTTTTCCTTTCAAACTTAAGTGAAATTATGTTCTCTCAAGTCTTGAGTGAAATCTTCCTATAAATACAGATTGAAGATAAGTTGGTTCCCCCATTCCCTTCCTGATTGCTACCTTAGGGCCTCTAAATTCTGAAATCACAAGTGTCTTTAAAGCAAACCATTAGCTATTCAAGAAATTGGTCTTACAGTCAGGGGCTTGTTTTAATGGAAATGGAAGGGAAGCACCCTTAGATGGCCTTTTGCTGAAGCCAGCAGAGGCCGTGATGTTCTGTCACATAGTGTGGGAGTCATCTGTATGTTGTGATGGTCCTGATTGTGGACCAGATACCACAAAAGGAGAAAATGGCTGAGAGAGTGAAACGTCAGGGACACAGCTTTAAGCGATAGCCATGTTATTTTGGTGGGAGGGAAAAGGGTAGTCAGTGGTGAAGGAGATTGAGAAGCTGAAGACCCAGGAAAAACCCACTATTGTCATGGAAAATAATTCAGGGAAAAGCTGTTAGTCTGTGCAGGGTACATCAGCAGGGGCAGAGTTGCAGAAAAGTCTGACTTGGCATTTATGTCCCTGCTCTCAAGCCAGCTGTATAGAGAGAAGATGACCATAAGCGATAGTTAAGAACGCTCAAGTTTACATAAAATAGGAGTAAGCAATCCAGCAAAAGGAGAAACAGTCAGAGATACCTTGGAGAAATTACAGATTTCTGACTCAAATCAGTGCAAGAATAAATTAAAAATTGGCATAAAAGACCACTGCAGTCAGTCTGAGGAAGGTATGTTACCACTGAGGGTATCTTTTGCATTTAGTCACTAGTAAGCCAGACAGAGTTCTTGTATATTTTCTTTTTCAAATGGGTGACACATATTTGTTATCAGGGACCAGTTCTGTATCTTACCTGTATCAGACAGTAGAGAGTGGTACTAATAAAATCTGTAGCACTGAGCAGGGACTTAACTTGCCTCAGATGGAATGTGAAATCTAATTTTGAGAGTATCGTTGACCCTTGAACAATGTGACAGTTGGAGTGCTGACCTCCCCTATCTCTCAACTATTAATAACTTACTGTTGACGAGAAAGCTCATCAATAACATAAACAAGTCTATTAAGACATTTTGTATATTATAGGCATTATATACTATATTACAATAAAGTAAGCTAGAGAAAAGTAGAAGGTGGTTGCAGATCACCAAAAACGTTTCCAATATATTAACTGAAGAAAAAAAATCTGCATAGTAGTGGACCTATATCCACAATACAGACCCATGTTGTTCAAGGGTAACTATATTTTGTGACATGTACTAGAGGATTAGCAAATTAAATTACATAGCTTTCAAAAACCATTAATTTGATCACTAAAAATATGCATGCCATAAATGTCTCTTTGTGTACTTGGGTCCTAGAAAAACGTGGTGATTATACTTTGAATCCTTCAACTCACCCTTTTCTCTCTGTATTTCAGATTAGCTTGACCACACTTCCCTCCTGCTGTTGCTTGAGCCAGTATCTAGAATTCTGATCTTAGGGCTGCTGTAAATAATCACACAGATTGTCATAAGCCTGGCATGTCAATATGTTAAATATCTCTTATATGAGGTCTATCAAAAGGAAAGTGGAGACTATCAGACCGAGTGGTTTTCTAAACCTTTTTTCAGCCGTGAAATTCTTTCCATGAACCTTAAGTGGAAGTCCCAGTATATATAAAAGAATAAAATGCTATTACTCTTAAAGAAGTGGGGCATTTGGGCTTTTAAGAGGTTACTTGGCTTCTCTGGGGTTACACAGATTCTGTCAGCATTGATGGAACTAAGGATTTGAACTGACAATTTTCCTGGTGGTTCTGTAATTGAATTTACTTGCTTACTTTTCCAATAGTGAAAAGGAAGAAGATGAGAATGAAAAGAGAGAAGACCCGGGTGATAATTGGGAAGAAGGTGGAGGTGGTGGCGGTTGTATAGAAAAATCTTCAGGTCCCTGGAATAAAACAGCTCCAGTACAAGCACCTCCCGCTCCAATAATTGGTAATCTTACTGTCTCATTTTCATAAAGGTGTCTGTTCATGAATGATTTCTTACACAGTCAGCTTTCAACTAAATGCATGTTTGTGGGAGTGTAAGTGGGGCCCCTTTCCCATTCCTGGGAGAGGGATTTGTATTCATCTGTTTGAAGATTTTCACACCCTTAATAAAGGACTTGGGAGTTTGAGATCCATTCTTTTCAGTAGGCTGCTGAAATTTATATGTAAACTAATTTACCAAGTTCAAATATTCAGGTGTTTGTTTCCATTTTTGACAGATGACTAAGGAATATTGAGTACCTGTGTTTCCCCTGTGTTAGTCTTTTTCTTTCCCTTTCCCCATTTTGCTCTGTCTTGAAGCATGAATTCTCACAAGGGTGGATTTTATCATTCTTAAGGGGATAAAATGGATCTTGGCAGGGGTGAAGAAATCTTGGGTCTTAAGAATGTGACTTGTGGCCCACCAGAGGGCCAAAGCATGTGAACAGGATACACAGTATATCTGGTATTAACATTTCTTGGTGGGTGGACAGTGGTGATTAGGAAAAAGGATGTCTAAAAAGGTTTCCTTAGGAACTTGGATAATGAAAATCAAGTTTGAGGAACATTGCTTAATGTATACCAGTTGCTTTATACAGAATAATAATATCCTGATATCCCATATTTTTGTGTCCTATTTAGCCATTTTCTATGCATGTATGTTTTTAACTGCATCTTGGTGATTCCTGATGACCTCTGCTTTGCTGTCTTCAGTGTCCAAGTCTCGGTCCTCATCTGATTTGCCCCATCAGCAGTTCTTGACACAGTTGATCACCCCTTTGAAACACAGTCTCCTGTTGGCTTCAGGGCACCACATTCTCCTGCTCCCTTGCTGGTGGGTCTGTCTCCCTTGCTGGTACTTCTCCCCGTGTCCAAGGACCAGTCTGCTCTGTGTTTGGCCCTTGCTTCTCTCCTCTATCTGCCCTCACAATCTTGGTATCTCTACATGCCAGTGGCTCTTAAATTTACATCCTCAGCTCATCTCTGTTGAATCCAGGCCCGTATATCTTCACTGACCCCCAGCATCTCGATCTCAATAGTCACTTAGGCCACAAACTTTAGAGTTGTCTTTGACAGCTTTCTATTGCTCTAAACCTTTATCTAATCTGCCAGTAAATTTTGTGGCTTTACTTTCCAAAGAAGTTCAGATTTTATATGACTAGTTCTCCTCTATTCCATTGCTACCACCCTGGTTTTAACTCTCATTTTTTATATGGGCTTCTGAGTTCACCTCTTAACTGGTGTGCCTGCCGCTCCACATGCAGTCTGCTCCCCAGCCAGCAGCCAGAGTGGTAATCTTCTCCAGTGTGGCAGAACCTGTTCCTGAGCTATTCACAGACCTCCACTGGGGTCCCTCTGATCAGAGCAGAAGCTTACAGTTCTCAGTAACTTAGAAGGCCTTCGTCCCTACCTTGTGGCCCTCTTTTCCTGACTTTGTCTTTCTGTTAATCTGATCCATTTCACTCTGCTCCTTGAATATAGCAGACACACTGCTACTGCAGGCCTTTCGTGCTTATGTTTTCATCCTGGAATTCTCTGTCCTTTATATTGGGGTCTATAAGTTTTTTCTGTAAAAGGCCAGGTAGTAAATGATACAGGTTTTGAGTGCCAGGCAGACTCTGTTTTATTTACTCAGTTCTGCTGTTGTAGCACAAAAGCGGCCATAGATGATCTGTACACCCAGTGTGTGTAGTTGTGTTCCCGTAAAAACTTGTTTATAAAATCAGCTGCTGGACTGGGTTTGGCGTGTTTGCCAATTCTGGGACGTTTGCTTCCTTTCTTCTTTCAGGCCTTTGCTCAGTTTTCACCTCACCACTCAGACCCTCCCGGACCACCTTATTTAAATAATAGTCACCTACCCATCCTGTGCTCTCTTTACTGACTCTTCTCCACGTTAGTTTTTGGTTTGGCATCTGTTTTGCCTGTTTGGTTTCGTCCCTCTGGAGGAGCTCTGTGTGATGGTGCTCTTTGCAGTGATGAATAGCACTGCCCAGTATAGTGGCCCCCAGCCACATAGCTAGTGGCCAGAACATAGAGTTGAAGGCATTTTGTTAATGTTTGTGTCCCCTCTATGTAGTTTAGAAAGACATTTGACATGTAGCAGATGCTCAGTAACTAACAAATGTATGTTATTTAATGGCTTCCCCCATGTAATTAAACACTGTGAAAAATAATAAGCCTTTACGGTAGTATTCAAATGGCTGCATTATATATATTTTGGCTAAAAAGTGATAATGTAGGTGTATATTTGAAAAGAAGTTTTTAATAAGTGGAAAACACATAAAACACTGAGTCTATATTGAAGATGGGTGTGGAGGTGACACACAGGGAAAAGCTGGGAGGCTGTGTGCCCACAATATGAGCCATGGTGCTAACTGGGCTGCTCAGCTGCTTTCTTTCCCCTGTTTTACCTATGTTTTATAAGAAAATAAAGGAAGAACCTCAAAATCCATTGATGATGTGGAGGACAATGAAATCATAAGGGTAGCTAGTAGTTTATTGTTATTATGAATCATCTTTGAAGTTAAAAAACAAACTACACAGGCATTTTATTAAGTTTGTTCCTTACGCACAGCATCTTATTTAATCCACCAGCGAGGTAAAGAAGTGGTTCCATTTGCTGATATGTAAAATAAGGAGGACTAAGGTGGTCACACTGTGAAAGGCAGGCTGTTCCTGATGAAGCTTGTCTCCCACATCCAGAAGATTCCTTTCCCACTTCCAATAACCTGACTTACAGAACTCAGAGATAATTAAAGTTGTACATGAAAGAGAAGTTAGAAGACTACCCTAGCAAAATAGAGTATTTTTACTTTTACACATTTCCTTAGGTAATTGCTTCAGTTTCCCAGAGGCCTTTCCTATGCAGGTATTGAGTTTTTTCTGGAATTGTTAAATAACTGGGAATGTAGGAATAGCTTACTCAAATGCCAGTCATTGGAGTAGTTTCTCTAAACTTACGAAATGTTAGTTACAGAAACACCAGAACCGGCGATGACTAGCGGTGTGTATAGGCCTCCTGGGGCCAGGTTAACCACAACAAGGAAAACACCCCAAGGACCACCAGAAATATACAGCGATACACAGTTCCCATCCCTGCAGTCCACTGCCAAGCATGTAGAAAGCCGGAAGTAAGTACTCGGATTATTGCATGTTGTTTTGGAGCCCTGTCCCTTGACCAGGCCGTGGGATGGAAGGGAGATAAAAACCCACCTGGGAGGGTGTGGAGGGCATGGGGGGGTTATTTGTATTGGCTGCCGCTGATGGGCAGCTGAGACTTAGGGTGGAACTCAGGATTTGGGAGCTAGGAGGTGGGCAGTGGGGAGGGCTCTGGAAGGGGGCCAGGAAAAGAGCACCGGAGACAAGCTCTGTCTGCAAAAGTTTTCTCTTACCCTGGTGTCTGTTCTGTAATTGTGACAAGTTTCTTCGGCCAGAATTCTTTAAGCTCCTCATAATATGGGAACTAGAAATATAAGAGCAATAGTTGATTGTTTTCCCAGTCAGTGTGAATAGGTGAAAGATGTTGGCATTTATAAATCTAATGTCAAAATAATCTTATGTCAGTAGTTATTTAAAATGAATGCTACGTGGCGGAGTTAAGTGACCACATGTGGCACATCCACATCTTATTTAGGGACATGAATGTTATAAAATGGGCAGAAATGTAAATGACATCAAATGGAAACTTGTTTTTTGGGGTGGCTTTTAAAGTAAACCCCAGCGTTCTTGCCTCTTTGAGAGCACAGCTGGTTTGAATTTAAACCTCCCCTCGGACTTGGTGCCTCCGCTCTGCCCTCCAAAGTATGGGGCAGTGATGCACCCTCACCTTTCTTAGATGCACTCCTGTAAAGTAGAGGTGAGAAGTCATTGATGGATGAGTAGAACCTAACCTAATTGAGAAAGTTATTGCCCTTATGCGTAAAGGAGAAACATACTGGCTGTTATTTGCTAAAGCAAATGAGTAAATGACTCTTAGAATCATTCTGTCATTAGGTAGCTTTTTAACCTTCTAGTTGGTCCCCAAATAGATTCACAGTTAATAGTGATCAGTAGATTTGCTAATACAGAAAATAACATAAGAGTTCAGGATAGTATTCTGTGTTTTCTGTTCAACTGAAGTCTTAAAAATGGTTTGATAAGGATTTTTATGTACAGGTTTCCCCTGCTATCCAAACGTAGACCCTTCCTGTGAAATCTTTCATAAGCTGAAATGGGTGTAAAAGGGAGCGAGATCCTCTGCTTTCTGAAAGTTTGAGCTACACCACTTCATTTTTACAGAAGACCTCTATTAGTACAGTAATGGCTTTTCTCGTTAAGTGAAGATCCTCTTTGGATTTCCTTCAGTTAGTGAGAAACAGGTACTAATGTCAGTCTTCTGCACAAGTGAGGTGGCGAGACATGAACATTCAGACAGCAGGGGGCACCTATACCAGTTTTTCTCACCTGTCTCTAAGGGGTAAGCTTTTCTTAATTCATGGAAGAGTATTTTCAAAACCTACTGATAAAGACATACTTACTGATTACATTTCTTTTCCCTTAGGGATAAAGAAATGGAGAAGAGCTTTGAAGTAGTAAGACACAAAACTAGAGGTAGGGATGAGGTTTCAAAAAACCAGGCCCTTAAACTTCAGCTAGACAACCAGTATGCTGTGCTTGAAAATCAGAAAAGCCACACACAGTACAATTAAGGACTGGTCTTTGCTAACCCTTCTAAGGTAACTAGACAACAGCTAACCACCAAGAACAGCCATTCATCATCTGATCTCTGCTGGATCTACAATTGATGCAGACCACTTGGTATAAGTGACCAGCCCTGTTGCACTGTGGAAGTTTATAAAGTGTCAAAACTGCTCATTTTGTTTATTGCATTTAGGGGGGTTTTCATTGTTACATACACACATGAACTGTATTCACCAGTGTTCTTTCATAATTACTCTACAAAAACAAAACCTGCAGCCAGTGGTCATTTCAAAATCTTTTTATGTTCAGATACTGAGCCTTCGTAAGGGTTGACTACCTCAGATTTGCTGCACTCATTGTGGACTTCATGTGGATCACAACTTCTGGATAAGAAGGTTACAGCTATTAAGTGTCGATGTGAAACTTGAAACCAGCTCTACTGGATTCCTATGAGAAATCCTGCAGAAAGTCAGCCACCTGGGTTCTGATCTGCTGGAAAAGATGAAGATTTAAGTGACCTTAATTAACCTGTCCTGTGTCCCACCCTTAAGGAATACTTTGTAGTGTTCTGTGGCTCTGTTAGACTTCCTGGAACATGCCGCTCTGAAAGGACTAGTGTGTTCAGATAGTTCAGATAATCTGTGTAGGGCTGTGATTTATAATTTAAACTTTTGAGTTGTATTCTGAGGTAACCACAAATTAAATTCAACCAAACTTGGGTCCACCAAGTGGGAAATGGGATGGGGGAGGGAATAATCTTATTTCTTACAGTAATTTTTTTTATTTGGGTAGTGCTTTTTCTGTGTTCCACATTAAGGTGTTTTTTTGCTTTCACTTGGAATAAGTTCTTGGACAGTGCATATTGCTTAAGTGAGTAACCTGAATATGCGTTAGAATTGTGAAATGTGTCGTGAATTTGCCAATCCCTTGAACGGAACCAAATAGCCTTTGATATAAAGGGCAGTGGATGCAGGGGGCTCTACTTCAGGTGCTGCTAAAGCCTCCTCTGATCAGGTCTAAATTGTAAGGTAAACTGCAGTGGAAAGAGTGGCTTCTGCTCAGGCTAAGGGATTCGCTGACTTATCCTTAATACATTCAAAGCAATGGGAGCAGAACCTCAGCCTGAAACCCACTGGTCTCATAGGTCTTGCATGATCTTTGACAAGATTTCCGGATAGACTTGTGCCCAAATTTTTAAGTTATTGGATATTCTGTAGATGCAGTGATTGTTCCAGCTTAGCTCCATTATCAACCTTCTGGTGTGGTTTTTTTTTGTTGTTCATTTGGAGAGTCAGGGGTGAAAGACAGGTGATGTAGCACTTCTCTTTTTAACAATTACAGCTTAACTATCCAGCAAATTTTCAAGTCAGTAAAAGGAACTTCAGGAAGCTACCCAGGATTACCAAAAAGTCTTTCCATCTAATGAGGTAGTCTGGTAATTTCCTAGTTTTGTATCTTTGGTTCAATAGAAATATTTCAAAGTGGTATGTGACCACTTGATGCAGAGTCTGGGTTTCTCTATAATAAATCCCTTTGCCAAATGCAGGAGTTGCAGACTTGCTACTGGCAAGAGTGAAGCAAATGGATGAGTAAAACTATCCTATGTGGGAGCATTTTCCTGTAGGAGCTCAGTCTTGAAAGTGTCACTGCAGTCGCTGGACTCCTGGGAGGGTTACAGGATCTCCTGACAGAACCTGCCAGCTATAGTGGGCAATAATGTTGCATTCTTTGGAGTGGTGGGCAGATGTCTGCCTTCTGGTGTATTTGGGTGAGTGGCTGAGCCAGCCAAGGAGAGGTTGGATGATTAAGTGAGAAACAATTCTTGGTTAAACTGAAGACTTCATTTGGGAACCAAAAATATTGACACATAATCTCTTGGACCTTGAGTCACGTATTTCCCCTGAAATACATGTTTTTTTTTTCCAGTAAGATTTTGTTGGTTATGTTATTGAGGAAAAAACTAGGGTGAATATGTGAAACTGTTACTTAATAGCATTTGTACTAGAAATCTGAAGACCTGCAGGAGGTTTAAAATTCCAACTCTTGTTTGAAGTTTTTAAAAGATATTGAAATTATCAAAAATGCACATGAATCAAGTTTTAATATACAGTATGATGGGTGGATAAGGCTGTCCATTGTACCATTTCTTTCTTTGAATTCTCAGGCATGGTTTGGCAGTGCAAGAACTCTGTAACATTAACAAATTAAATAAAAAGTAAATATATGGATCCTGGAGTCCAGTAGTTTTTATTCATAGCTCTTAAGATGATGAATTGATGACGTGGCCCCTTTGCTGTAGGAAGATGAGAATCTCGTCTCAGGAGTGAACTGAGAAATGTTTGCAGAGTACTGTGTTAAAAAGGCTCAGACTGAAAGTGGCTGCAAAGCTTTGGTGAATATCCCTTTCAAAGATAAAACATTGAAATGTATTTTTATCTTTGTTACTGTATTAGATTTTGTTGTCTTAAACTATGGTGAAAAAATGTTCTCACTATGTAGACTAATGATTTGAGACTTTGTCTTGAGAAGCTTACAAATTTCTCAAATGGGTAGAGCAGCCATTTCAGATTGCAGGATTTAGTCTTGACTGTAGTGCCTACATTTCTAAAATAGAGGAAGTATTTCAGCTTATTTTTGGTAATGGGATTAAATTGTTTAATGTTAACAGTTTGCTACTTGGTCATTGTACTTGATTTGAGATTTTTCTTGACAACCATACATAGAACATTCATAGAAACTCAGACTCCTGTATCACTCTTTTTAACTCTTTTTAACATTTAAATAGTTCTCAGTATTCATCCTCCCTGCAAAAGTACTATGCCCCTGAGCAGTCCTTTTCTATTTGTCCCCCAGCCCTCTGGCCCTAAGGAGCAACTGTTCTTGTGTAGATTTCTACATTCTGGACATTTCACATAAACAGGTTATATAGTAATGGGGTTTTTTGACAGGCTTTCACTCAGCAGGTTTTTTAGTTCATGTAGCATGCATGTATCAGTACTTAATTTTTATTGCCAAACAGTTGTGTGGATGGATCACCCTTTGTTTATCCATTCATCATTTGGACATTTGGGTCATTTACACTTTGTCCTTGTGAGTAATGATACTGTCAATTTTTCACATACAAGGTTTTATGTCTCTCTTTATGTTTTTAGTTCTCTTGAACATACCTCTAGGGGTTAATTGCTGTGTCACACTCCAAAGTGGCTGCACCACATCGCATTACCATCAGCAATATCTGAAGATTACAATTTCTTCATTTCCTCATAATGACCTTTTTCTTTCTAATCATCTAAGTTGGTGTGAAGTGGTATCTGGTGGTTTTGATTTTTTTTTTATTTAGTCATCATCGATATACACTCTTATTGTTTCACATGAAAAACATTGGGGTTAACTACACTCATCCATATTATCAAGTCCCCCCACACCCCATTGCAGTCACTGTCCATCAGCATAGTAAGATGCTAAAGAGTCACTAGTCTTCTCTGCTACATTGTCTTCCCTGTGACCCCGCTACATTATTGTGCCAATCATAATGCTCCTCAATCCCCTTCTCACTCCCACCCACCCTCCCCCACCCCCTCTCCTTTCATAACCACTAGTCCCTTTTTGGAGTGCTGTTTTGTTCCTTCAGTTTTGTTTTGTTGTTATACTCCACAAATGAGAAATCATTTGGTACTTGTCTTTCTCCACTCCCTATTAGTTGCATGAAATATCTTTTTCCATCCTTCACTTTTAGTCTCTATGTCTTTGGGTTTGAAGTGAGTTTCTTGTAGGCAGCATATAGATGGGTCTTGTTTTTTTATCCATTCAGTAACTGTGTCTTTTGATTGGTGCATTCAGACCATTTACATGTAGGGTGATTAGATACATACTTATTGCCATTGCAGGCTTTAGATTCATGGTTACCAAAGGTTCAAGGGTAGCTTCTTTTACTATCAGTCTAACTTAACTCACTTAGTACACTATTACAAACACAATCTAAAGGTTCTCTTTTTTTCCTCCTCCATTCTTTATGTATTGGGTATCCTGTACTCTTTTGTCTATCCCTTCATTGACTTTGGGGGTAGTTGATTTAATTTTGCATTTGCTTAGTAATTAATTGGTCTGCTTCCTTTACTTCCTGTGATTTTATTTTCTCTGGTTACAGCTATTTAGCCATAGGAACACTTCCATCTATACCAGTCCCTCCAAAATACACTGTAGAGATGGTTTGTGGGAGGTAAGTTCTCTCAACTTTTGCTTATCTGAAAATCGTTTAATCCCTGCTTCAAATTTAAATGATAATCTTGCCGGGGAGAGTATTAGTTCAAGGCCCTTTTGTTTCATTGCATTAAAATATATCATGCCACTCCCTTCTGGCCTGTAAAGTTTCTATTGAGAATTCTGATGATAGCCTGGTGGTTTTCCTCCGAATGTGATCTTTTTTCTCTCTCTGGCTGTTTTTATTTTTTATTAAGGTATTATTCATACACTCTCTTATGAAGGTTTCACATGAAAAAACAATGTGGTTATTACATTCACCCATATTATCATGTGCCACACACCCCCATACACCATTGCAGTCACTGTCCATCAGTGTAGTAAGATGGCACAGAGTCACTATTTGTCTCTGGCTGTTTCTATACTCTGTCCTTATCCTTGATCTTTGCCATTTTAATTATTATATGTCTTGGTTTTGTCTTCCTTGGGTCCCTTGTGGCCTTAGAGACTATCTCTTTCCCCACATTGGGAAGTTTTCAGCAATTATTTCTTCAGAGACACATTCTATCCCTCTTTCTCTCCTTCTGGTACCCCTATAATGTGAATATTGTTCTGTTTGGATTGGTCACACAATTCTATTAATATTCTTTCATTCCTAGGGATCCTTTTTTCTCTGTGCCCCAGCTTCTTTGTATTCCTGTTCTTTAATTTCTATTTCATTTATTGTCTCCTCTAGTTCATCTACTCTACTTTTAAATCCCTCCATTGTATGTTTCATTTTGGATACTGTATTTTTCAAAGTTTCTATCTCTTGAATTTCTCCCTGAGGTCTTGAATTTTTCTGTAGCTCCGTGAGCATGTTTGTGATTTTTATTTTGAAATCTTTTCCAGGAAGATGGGTCAGTTCAGTTTCACTTGGCCCTCTGGTGTTTGTGGGATTTTTGGTTTGTACCAGGTTCTTTTGACGTTTCATATTAGTAAAAATAACTTGGTGTAGGCAGTGTTCTCTAGCATCTGGAAGCTCTACTCTCTGGAGCCGCTCAGCCCCTGGCGTGATGGCAGGCAGGGGCACAGATGAGCTGGCACTGGTGCCTGCCAGAAGGAAAGAGCACTTTCCTGCTTCCTGCTGCAGTGCCTGCCTCCAGTGCCGACCAGTGGGCCCAGCGTGCAGGGAGGGGCCTCTATGCTATGCACTTTTAACTGCTGTCTGGGCAATGGTGGGGGCAGCAGGTTTGAGAGATGGTCCCTGCTGGGAAGAAGGAGCAGCAGGCCGCATATTGCAGTGGCAGGGAAGGGGGGCCTCGGAGCTGTGTATCCAGCCAGGGGGATGGAGTTCCTGAAGCTCCTCAAAGTTCCCAACCTGCTGGGCAGAGTGCACCAGTGTAATTTTGTCCACTTGCCCTTTCTCCTGAGCAGCAAGCTCTGCAGTCCTTGCTCCTCTCGCTGTTAGGAAGTCTCTCAGAGCACCCACCTTTCTTTTGTGCCAGAGTAGCTGGTTGTCAGTATCTGTTCTCCACAAGCAACTAGAATTTCAGTCTCTCGAAGTATTCTGCCTATTAGCTTTCCAACCCCACTAATCTCCAGAGCACCATGTAATACAGGTTCGTGTTCCCAGAGCAGACAGATCTCCAGGGCTGGGTGTTCAGCAGTCCCAGGCCTCCACCCTCTCCCCGCTCCATTTTTCTTCCTCCTGCCGGTGAGCTGGGGTGGGGGAAGGGCTTGGGTCCCACCAGATCACAGCTTTGGTACTTCACCCTTTCCTGTGAGGCCTCCTCTTTCCCCCCAGATGTAGGCAGTCTGTCACAGCCATCTTTCCTGTTGCTCTTTCAGGATTAGTTGTATTTGCTGTATTTTCATATTATATGTGGTTTGGGGAGGAGGTTTCTGTCTCACCTCTCATGCTGCCATCTTTAAGCCAATCCCTTGATTTGCGTTTCTGTAGTTACTGACAAACATTTGTTCTTGTGCTAATGGACCACTTGTATGTACATCTTTGGGATAATGTTTATTCAAATACTTTGCTAACTTCCAAATTGTTTTTTATTATTAAATTGAAAGAGTTCCTTACATACTCCAGATACTTGGTCCTTGGAGACATAACTGGCATATTTTCTCCCATCTTCACTTTCTTAGTGTCTTTGGAAGCACAGAAGTTTTTAATTAGGTTGAATCCCAATTTTTCTGTTTCTTTATTTGGTTGTGTTTTTCTTCTACCTCAGAAATTACCAGGATCACAAATATGTGTGCTTGTTCTAAGTTCTGTAGTTTCAGCTTTCATTTAGATCTTTGATCCATTTTAATATTTGAATATGGTGTGAGGTAGGAGTTTGACTTCATCCTTTTACATGTGGTTCTCCAGTTGTCCAGCACTTTGCTGAAAAGATTTCTTCATTATCTTGCACACTAACCAAGCATCTCCATCTAGAAGGTGAAGTTGGTTTGGAGTAGAAACATGTAGGAAGGGATGTCAGGAGTTAGGGAGTGTGGGATGGGAATTGGAGAGAGAGGGAAGATTGAGGTCAGAATCTGCATTTATGCAATGGAGACAAACTAATGAGGTTGTCAGCCAGGAAGGAGAATCAAGGAAGAGATCTAAACAGTCTAATCACTAGCCTAAATCTGCGGGTTTATAATGGTTTTAATTAATCACTGGCTATGGGAACTAGGTATTAATGGGATCCACAGAGTGCAAGCAAGTTATGAACTGCTTCTCGAGCTTGATAAAAAAGTAATGTAGAGGATATATTGATCAAAGGAAAATAACTGCTCTAAATAAGCATTTTTATGTAAGAGTAAGTGAGGAATTATGTCCATGTCAAGGATTTCGTATTTGTAAGTAACCACTAAGATGGTTTTAAGCCTTCTGAAATTGTAGCCCAAGTGAGAACTAGAATTCGGAATAACTGAATGTAGTAACACAAATTGAATAGCACTTACCATAGTGAACTCATTTCCTCTGTGAATGCCCTCCCCTTTGAACACCTTCCTGAAACTGAACTGAACTGGGATACAGTCCAAGCCTGCAGCA